CAGATGGTCAGAAATTGCAATTTGAACAATCAAATTCTTAAAATGTGACTTCTCAATCACACAACATATATAGCAGCCACTAAAGAAGCATAAGGCCATATGCAGCCAACCATGTACTAGTGCCAATATTTTTCAATTAGTGGGTATAACCAAATAGGTTGTTCTTCAACTTGTACGAGCATCATCTTACTAAAACAAAGTATGGGCATTCTTCATTGTGTGGAAAGGAAACACTTGGTCAAACAAGCACCCCATGCACTGTCTACACAACTGGCAAAATTAAAACTGAATGATGTAAATGCATACTGGAAAAGAAGCATGTTATTACAGATCCCAGGTTCTGTATTTTTCAAAATGTCCAAGAAGATGAACTCAGCTCATACCCAAAAGAATAGGACATTTTAAACCCGGTTTCCAAATCCTTAACTTAAATCAAACACATTGGAATATTTAAAGGGTATAAAGAATGAGAAATTATTTTCTATTGCTCCAACGAATACATAGATTGCTACAAACATTTGGACTCTAATTAGAATATCCCAAATAGGAGTTACAGGAAAGTAAATTCGGGAATAAAAATTTATGCAAAATCAAATCCTCCTAATTGCAGTAACTAATCAACTAATTACAAATATGGTTATAACAATCAATTCTTTTAAAAGTTCTTATCTTCATCAAATTAGAAAGTATAACACCCTAAAATAATTTTAACAATTACTACACTGGTATCCATCACTTGATAGAGATTATAAAGTTTTATTCATGAGATATACAATTGCCTTTTAGCTTATTAATTAATGGACAAGAAATTGATCTAATTGCACCTGGCGCAGGAATCTCAAGCTCCGATGATCTGGTGTAAGGCCACCAAAGTGAGTAGTGGAAAGAAAAGCATATCCACTTGTAGGCCTAATTGGCGAGTTTCTCCTGTCAATTTTAAATGTATACTTCAAAGATGATAATAAACCATGCCCAAGCTGCCTCCTTATATACCTGGATGACATTTGAGATGGATCAGTCAAGGTACGCCATCCAAGAGTGTAGACTAAGTCATGGTGCCTGGTTGAGATTAAGCCAAGAGACAATCCTAACAGCTGCTCTTTGTATGAAGAAAACTCTTGCCAATCTTGGGAAAGCATGGAAAGTCGTGCTACAAGAGGAGTTAACAACCCTTTCAGTCTTGGAGCAAACACTCCTACACTCACCTCTGTTGCTTGGTTGCCACCGTAGGCCAAAGAGGCATCCCATAGATCGCCATAACCTAACAAGTTTTTGTACTTAAGACCACCTTCAGCAGTCCACGAACTTGTCTACAACAGTGTTGCAACATATCCAAAACGAAAACATATATATTAGCTTATTAAGACCAATAAATACTCATCAGACCAATATACAGCTTCCAATAAAGCAAGGATGAAACAGAAATGTTCTACTCCCCCACAAGTAAAAGATTATAGCTGAAAACTCATAGTCACGATCATAACCTTATATTTTATCAACAGGAAATGAATCATATCTTTGTCCCAACCTGATAACGTTTTAAAAATCCCAACATTTATTATATAATGCAATTACATGTACATTGTATCTTGATTTTCTTATTGAAACAAGTACCAGAAGGAACCATTAGAAATTGAGATCACCATTCTAATGGTCCTAAAGACACAGCCCACTCCACCCATGGAAAGAAAATTCAAGTTGGAAGTCAAAGAATTTGGAGTTTCTTCCGTGTTTATACCCATAACTATACCCTTTCAGATAGTTGTCACTATTCAAAATAACTCCTGCTCATCCATAAGCATAATAACATTAGCCAAGAAATAAAACAAGGGAACATAGCTGTTTGTTTTGTTGCGTAAAGGCTTTCATATTATTGTGGGGGCAATAAACAGAAAAATCAACTTCCCTTAAATCCCTGATACTATAATCTGGGACAAGCAGGTCAGTATGTGTCTAATGCCTCCGTTGATAATAGTCAAAGATCATACTAGAAGATGACATTGATCTCCTAAGAGCAGGAAGAGTGTGTGATTTCTTTACGATTAAACCAAACCAACAGTTTATGGAAGATCAGAAGATCAGGAAATGACACTTTTACTACAAAGGTAAACCCAGTCCAAGGATACCCAAATATTTTGTTCTTATTTTTTNTTATCAACAGGAAATGAATCATATCTTTGTCCCAACCTGATAACGTTTTAAAAATCCCAACAATTATTATATAATGCAATTACATGTACATTGTATCTTGATTTTCTTATTGAAACAAGTACCAGAAGGAACCATTAGAAATTGAGATCACCATTCTAATGGTCCTAAAGACACAGCCCACTCCACCCATGGAAAGAAAATTCAAGTTGGAAGTCAAAGAATTTGGAGTTTCTTCCGTGTTTATACCCATAACTATACCCTTTCAGATAGTTGTCACTATTCAAAATAACTCCTGCTCATCCATAAGCATAATAACATTAGCCAAGAAATAAAACAAGGGAACATAGCTGTTTGTTTTGTTGCGTAAAGGCTTTCATATTATTGTGGGGGCAATAAACAGAAAAATCAACTTCCCTTAAATCCCTGATACTATAATCTGGGACAAGCAGGTCAGTATGTGTCTAATGCCTCCGTTGATAATAGTCAAAGATCATACTAGAATATGACATTGATCTCCTAAGAGCAGGAAGAGTGTGTGATTTCTTTACGATTAAACCAAACCAACAGTTTATGGAAGATCATAAGATCAGGAAATGACACTTTTACTACAAAGGTAAACCCAGTCCAAGGATACCCAAATATTTTGTTCTTATTTTTTGTAAATTGATTACAGATTTGCTCTTTGGTGTTGCGCTATAGTACAAGCATCTGAAATGAAAAGATACAACCTCCGACCTAATAAGAAATGCATTCTCATAAAAATTATTATCAATCACAAATTCTTTGAATGCTTCAAATAACGCAATCATCCCTCAGACTCACATTGAATCAATTCAAACTTGAGCAATTATAACATCACACACGAAACGATAATAGAGAGCAAGATTGTACCGAGGGTTTGGTGTAAACGCCAAATTCGCCGGAAACTTTGTTGGCGGTCTCGACAACGTCGACGATGACATTGGCGGTGTGAGGCAGCTCCGGCGGCCCAGCCTGGAGCGTGAGCTCGGTGGACTCGAAAATCTCGAGGCTGCGGAGCCTGGCGAGGGCGGTTTCGGAGGCGCGAATGAGCTCCTGCACGGTGGCGGCGTCCTGGAGAAGCTTGAGCTCCGCCTCAATCACCCAATCCTTGGTCTTGGTGTTGCCTCGAATCAGCACATCGTGGACGCGGATAGGGACCAGCTCCGAAGCCAATCGCCGGGAGAGGGCTTCCAGCTTTAAACGCTGCTCGCGCAAACTGGACAATGATGATCGGTCGTTCCGATTGTACGGCTCGTGTGAAACGACGTCGTCGTGACCGTCATCTTCTTCCTCTTCCTCTTCGTCTTCTTGTTCGTCGATTTCATTGTCGTCGGCATTGTTAGGGTTTGGAGAGAAAGGAAGTGATTCGTTTCTTTCGTCCGAGTTTTCCATCGATGGGATTCGGAGGCAGTTTACGTGAGTTGGAGAGATTGAAGAGTGAGTTGGGTTCTGTTGTGTTAGTGAGTGAACAAAGGCAACGCCAAATCAAGTTTTTTTTGCATTTTTTTCTTTCTCTTTTCAATAATCAGTGTTTGTCATTTTAAAATTCCAAATAGGATAGAACTAATCTTGTAGTAAAATGAATGTCATAAAATTTAACTTCAATTTTTATGAATTAAAATTTTATCAACGAGTAGTTTAAAATCAATAATAAAAATGTTATTTTAGCTAAAAAATATATTAAACTAAATATGCCATACATTTTTAATTTCTTAAATATGTCAACTCCGGGTAATTAAATTAATTTTTATTTTTAGTCTAATTGCATATGAAATAAATCCATTAAATTTTATAGTAGTTTTACTTTGGGAATTGAACTTTTGATTCAGGAGAGTTTGATAAATCCAAATAAAATCATCTTTTTATAATCAAACAAAATTATTCTTGTTTTATTTAATTATTTAATTGACATAAGTTAATCAATTCTTTTTACGTTCCAGTAAAGATATCATGGATATTATCGTTTTAGACAATCTTTTTATATATATGGACAAGCTGTGAAACTCTTACACGACTTATGCACTATCACAGTAAAAAAGTAAAGAAAAGTAAAGTCGTGTATATCCGCCATATTTTCTGTTCCTGATAATTTATTATAAGCATTCGTAATTGATTACATGTTGTTAAAATTGTGTAGGGAATACACAACTTTTATGCACCAAATGAAATTTTAATTATAGGCCTATCTAGTCGATTACAAAAAGAAAAAGAATGAGAAAATTAAAATATAATTAATTATGATTTAAGTTTTAATTGTAATTAAGATATAACTGATTATGATTATATGGTATTTATATAATTAATTGTAATCAATTACAAAGACTTATAATTTGAATTTCATTTGTTGTAGAAAAATCGTGCATTCTCTACACGATTAAAGTCGTGCACTACCTATATAATTTTAATATTGTGTAATCAATTATTAGAATAAAAACATATAAAAAGTGTACAATTCGTTTTTTTCATTGTAACAGTGCAAAAGTCATGCATTCTTACCCAACTTTTTCGTTTAAAGTCGTGTGTGCCCATGTATGTAATTAGGAAAAATATGCGGAAGTTATTGTTCGCAATAAAAGTTAATCACGATAAAAAAAAAAGTATGTTGTTTATGCATTTTAACAATAATGGCACATGTATTCTTTTTAAATTATTTTTGGAGTGCATTAATTCAAACCCAACAAAATTGGGGCAGTTACTTCTTGCACCTTAGTTAATTCTGCACCTCCATATATCTTTTTTATAAATAATATAATTTGGAAATTATTTTTTTATTTATAAATTATGTTANATATGATTGGATAGTTTGACCATCTGCTCAATTATATGCAGGAGTAACTGAAACATTAACTAACCTCTAGGCGAAAAAGTTTAGTAGGAACAACAAAACCACATCCAACAGATGTTCGGAATGATTCTAAGAACCTCCGAGGTGAAAATCGCCTATATTCATTCTGAGTCAATTTTGCCGTATTCCCAGCACCAGCAAAAAGATGACCATGGATTCCATGATTTCTCAACCACCTAATTGGGAGATCAAAAGAAAGGTCTGCAAATGCCGTAACAGCAACATCTCCTCCAATGAAGTCCCGTTTAGAGGAATCGTCATTGTCATCAATAATTTCGTTTCTAATTCTCCTTCGTGGTTCAGTAGGACCTAGTCCCCTAGTTTTAAATCCCCACAATGTTATTGGCCCTCCCAGAGTGCAAACTGGAGAGAAATCACCACCCAAATAAAACCTTTCAGGAAGAGGAGATGGCTTGTTCATGAAGTCATGCCCCCATGGAAAAATGGCACCAGCTGAAATCCCAAGGTTAAGAGCTGTGTTATAAAACGGAAGGGGGATGGCACAGCGAACATCAAATTCCTGCATTAAGAGAATCCAACCAGTTAAGAAAAGAAATATATCTAAAATGAGAAAAAATAAAAAAGAAATATGTTGGGTAATAGAGGGATTACCATATGTTATACATGTGTTAATGTTAAGATTGCCCCATTCCCAACATTTTAAAAAAATGTGCAGAAATTTTACACCCCTCTATATATTATTTACCACAATTTCAAAAGAATTTCCAGGCAGATGGTCAGAAATTGCAATTTGAACAATCAAATTCTTAAAATGTGACTTCTCAATCACACAACATATATAGCAGCCACTAAAGAAGCATAAGGCCATATGCAGCCAACCATGTACTAGTGCCAATATTTTTCAATTAGTGGGTATAACCAAATAGGTTGTTCTTCAACTTGTACGAGCATCATCTTACTAAAACAAAGTATGGGCATTCTTCATTGTGTGGAAAGGAAACACTTGGTCAAACAAGCACCCCATGCACTGTCTACACAACTGGCAAAATTAAAACTGAATGATGTAAATGCATACTGGAAAAGAAGCATGTTATTACAGATCCCAGGTTCTGTATTTTTCAAAATGTCCAAGAAGATGAACTCAGCTCATACCCAAAAGAATAGGACATTTTAAACCCGGTTTCCAAATCCTTAACTTAAATCAAACACATTGGAATATTTAAAGGGTATAAAGAATGAGAAATTATTTTCTATTGCTCCAACGAATACATAGATTGCTACAAACATTTGGACTCTAATTAGAATATCCCAAATAGGAGTTACAGGAAAGTAAATTCGGGAATAAAAATTTATGCAAAATCAAATCCTCCTAATTGCAGTAACTAATCAACTAATTACAAATATGGTTATAACAATCAATTCTTTTAAAAGTTCTTATCTTCATCAAATTAGAAAGTATAACACCCTAAAATAATTTTAACAATTACTACACTGGTATCCATCACTTGATAGAGATTATAAAGTTTTATTCATGAGATATACAATTGCCTTTTAGCTTATTAATTAATGGACAAGAAATTGATCTAATTGCACCTGGCGCAGGAATCTCAAGCTCCGATGATCTGGTGTAAGGCCACCAAAGTGAGTAGTGGAAAGAAAAGCATATCCACTTGTAGGCCTAATTGGCGAGTTTCTCCTGTCAATTTTAAATGTATACTTCAAAGATGATAATAAACCATGCCCAAGCTGCCTCCTTATACACCTGGATGACATTTGAGATGGATCAGTCAAGGTACGCCATCCAAGAGTGTAGACTAAGTCATGGTGCCTGGTTGAGATTAAGCCAAGAGACAATCCTAACAGCTGCTCTTTGTATGAAGAAAACTCTTGCCAATCTTGGGAAAGCATGGAAAGTCGTGCTACAAGAGGAGTTAACAACCCTTTCAGTCTTGGAGCAAACACTCCTACACTCACCTCTGTTGCTTGGTTGCCACCGTAGGCCAAAGAGGCATCCCATAGATCGCCATAACCTAACAAGTTTTTGTACTTAAGACCACCTTCAGCAGTCCACGAACTTGTCTACAACAGTGTTGCAACATATCCAAAACGAAAACATATATATTAGCTTATTAAGACCAATAAATACTCATCAGACCAATATACAGCTTCCAATAAAGCAAGGATGAAACAGAAATGTTCTACTCCCCCACAAGTAAAAGATTATAGCTGAAAACTCATAGTCACGATCATAACCTTATATTTTATCAACAGGAAATGAATCATATCTTTGTCCCAACCTGATAACGTTTTAAAAATCCCAACAATTATTATATAATGCAATTACATGTACATTGTATCTTGATTTTCTTATTGAAACAAGTACCAGAAGGAACCATTAGAAATTGAGATCACCATTCTAATGGTCCTAAAGACACAGCCCACTCCACCCATGGAAAGAAAATTCAAGTTGGAAGTCAAAGAATTTGGAGTTTCTTCCGTGTTTATACCCATAACTATACCCTTTCAGATAGTTGTCACTATTCAAAATAACTCCTGCTCATCCATAAGCATAATAACATTAGCCAAGAAATAAAACAAGGGAACATAGCTGTTTGTTTTGTTGCGTAAAGGCTTTCATATTATTGTGGGGGCAATAAACAGAAAAATCAACTTCCCTTAAATCCCTGATACTATAATCTGGGACAAGCAGGTCAGTATGTGTCTAATGCCTCCGTTGATAATAGTCAAAGATCATACTAGAAGATGACATTGATCTCCTAAGAGCAGGAAGAGTGTGTGATTTCTTTACGATTAAACCAAACCAACAGTTTATGGAAGATCAGAAGATCAGGAAATGACACTTTTACTACAAAGGTAAACCCAGTCCAAGGATACCCAAATATTTTGTTCTTATTTTTTGTAAATTGATTACAGATTTGCTCTTTGGTGTTGCGCTATAGTACAAGCATCTGAAATGAAAAGATACAACCTCCGACCTAATAAGAAATGCATTCTCATAAAAATTATTATCAATCACAAATTCTTTGAATGCTTCAAATAACGCAATCATCCCTCAGACTCACATTGAATCAATTCAAACTTGAGCAATTAAAACATCACACACGAAACGATAATAGAGAGCAAGATTGTACCGAGGGTTTGGTGTAAACGCCAAATTCGCCGGAAACTTTGTTGGCGGTCTCGACAACGTCGACGATGACATTGGCGGTGTGAGGCAGCTCCGGCGGCCCAGCCTGGAGCGTGAGCTCGGTGGACTCGAAAATCTCGAGGCTGCGGAGCCTGGCGAGGGCGGTTTCGGAGGCGCGAATGAGCTCCTGCACGGTGGCGGCGTCCTGGAGAAGCTTGAGCTCCGCCTCAATCACCCAATCCTTGGTCTTGGTGTTGCCTCGAATCAGCACATCGTGGACGCGGATAGGGACCAGCTCCGAAGCCAATCGCCGGGAGAGGGCTTCCAGCTTTAAACGCTGCTCGCGCAAACTGGACAATGATGATCGGTCGTTCCGATTGTACGGCTCGTGTGAAACGACGTCGTCGTGACCGTCATCTTCTTCCTCTTCCTCTTCGTCTTCTTGTTCGTCGATTTCATTGTCGTCGGCATTGTTAGGGTTTGGAGAGAAAGGAAGTGATTCGTTTCTTTCGTCCGAGTTTTCCATCGATGGGATTCGGAGGCAGTTTACGTGAGTTGGAGAGATTGAAGAGTGAGTTGGGTTCTGTTGTGTTAGTGAGTGAACAAAGGCAACGCCAAATCAAGTTTTTTTTGCATTTTTTTCTTTCTCTTTTCAATAATCAGTGTTTGTCATTTTAAAATTCCAAATAGGATAGAACTAATCTTGTAGTAAAATGAATGTCATAAAATTTAACTTCAATTTTTATGAATTAAAATTTTATCAACGAGTAGTTTAAAATCAATAATAAAAATGTTATTTTAGCTAAAAAATATATTAAACTAAATATGCCATACATTTTTAATTTCTTAAATATGTCAACTCCGGGTAATTAAATTAATTTTTATTTTTAGTCTAATTGCATATGAAATAAATCCATTAAATTTTATAGTAGTTTTACTTTGGGAATTGAACTTTTGATTCAGGAGAGTTTGATAAATCCAAATAAAATCATCTTTTTATAATCAAACAAAATTATTCTTGTTTTATTTAATTATTTAATTGACATAAGTTAATCAATTCTTTTTACGTTCCAGTAAAGATATCATGGATATTATCGTTTTAGACAATCTTTTTATATATATGGACAAGCTGTGAAACTCTTACACGACTTATGCACTATCACAGTAAAAAAGTAAAGAAAAGTAAAGTCGTGTATATCCGCCATATTTTCTGTTCCTGATAATTTATTATAAGCATTCGTAATTGATTACATGTTGTTAAAATTGTGTAGGGAATACACAACTTTTATGCACCAAATGAAATTTTAATTATAGGCCTATCTAGTCGATTACAAAAAGAAAAAGAATGAGAAAATTAAAATATAATTAATTATGATTTAAGTTTTAATTGTAATTAAGATATAACTGATTATGATTATATGGTATTTATATAATTAATTGTAATCAATTACAAAGACTTATAATTTGAATTTCATTTGTTGTAGAAAAATCGTGCATTCTCTACACGATTAAAGTCGTGCACTACCTATATAATTTTAATATTGTGTAATCAATTATTAGAATAAAAACATATAAAAAGTGTACAATTCGTTTTTTTCATTGTAACAGTGCAAAAGTCATGCATTCTTACCCAACTTTTTCGTTTAAAGTCGTGTGTGCCCATGTATGTAATTAGGAAAAATATGCGGAAGTTATTGTTCGCAATAAAAGTTAATCACGATAAAAAAAAAAGTATGTTGTTTATGCATTTTAACAATAATGGCACATGTATTCTTTTTAAATTATTTTTGGAGTGCATTAATTCAAACCCAACAAAATTGGGGCAGTTACTTCTTGCACCTTAGTTAATTCTGCACCTCCATATATCTTTTTTATAAATAATATAATTTGGAAATTATTTTTTTATTTATAAATTATGTTATTTAAAATTTAAACTGTACAATCCTTTTTTCAAAAATATATTTAGATAGTATAATTTAGAAGTCAAAAATACTCTTAAATATCTGATGACTTTCACATAATATAAATCGAGCAAAATGAAAAAATATTTATGGGGTGCAGGACGAAAGCAATAGCCCAAAATTGGTGATCTTTTAAGGAACTTGGGCCCAATTCTTTTGAACCTGAATTGGTCCGGCCCACCACCTACACTCAAACAAATAAAGTTCATCTCGAGCATTTCATTGCCGCTCAGTCTCAAATTCAAACGAGGACCACGACCAGTTCACGACAACCACCGCTACCGCCGTTGCAGATTCTATTTCGAAATGGAAAACGTGGACGAACTCTTATCTTCGTTAATCTCAGACATCCATTCATACACCGACAAAGACCCTCTTCTCCCATGGCTTCGGTATTCCTCAATTCCCATTCTCTTTCTCTGTTTTCCACTTCACTTTCCTGTTTACTCATTCATTCCCAACCTTAATGGCAGCGCGATCCGAAAGATAAAGGACACTCTTCCTCCAAAAATCCTAAAGGAAAAACTACCGGCGTTCTTGCAGAAATGCGTTCACACCTTCGAGCTCGATCGACGTTACAGAAACGACATGCGCTATATTCGAGTGTGGCTCCATCTGGTACCCCAATCACCACATCCTCCCCTTTCCTTTTTTGCGGAAATGGGTTTGGAAAATGAAGCCTAAAGTTTTATTTTTTATATTATTATTTGATTTTTCGACATTAAAAACATGTATTAAGTTCAAACAAAGGGATAATGTCATGGTTAATGATTTTCTCCCATATAGATGGATTTTGTGAGTGATCCAAAAACACTGTTGAGTACCATGGAGGTTAATCGCATTGGGACAAATCGTAGTGAATTCTACCTAGCGTATGCTCTTTACTACGAAAAGTGCAAGAAGTACGATGAAGCAGAGAGAATGTACCATGTGGGAGTGAAGAAGTAAGTTGTGGAGTGTAATTGTTTTTATCGTTGTGTTGAGTAGATTAGTGGGGATAAAACTTAGCGTGCAATGAGTTGACATGGTTCCTCGATTGTTGCCAAGTGCCAAGACACATATCCCTACTTTATAATCTTTCCCTTGCAGATACGATTGAGATGCGACACTAACTATTTTTAACCATTTAGCTTAACATTCTAACGTTTGACTAGATCAAGTTTCGTATTCAATTTTATTGTAATGTTCTGTGCTTTGGAGAGATTTGCACAGAAAATTCACATGAAGTTCCCGTTAGATTATGCATGAAACTTGGTGCATACATAAATTTCGATGAATTTTCCCTTCTCATAATTTCAAATTAGTATATTAGTTCAGCAAATTACTACTTAGTATTTCAATTGGTATTAGAATAATATGCCCCTCTATCGAAGAAATTTTGAGACGATGCCTTTTCTGAACAGGCTTGCAGAGCCTCTAGATAAATTGCAGAAATCATATGAACAATTTCTTCAACGCATGGAGCAGCGAAAAAATAATAAGAGAGCCCAGGTAGTGACATCCGTTTATATTCATGTGATCTTATCTGTGTTGTTTTAGGCATTTTGTTGTTTTTGTTAATAGCATTCAGTTAGCTAATTTAGCAGGATCTCCTGCAGCACCAGGAAGCAAAAGCTGCCAGGAGGCCTCTGTCTTTAAAGAGTTCTGATGACAAGAAGACAGAGGGAAGCAAAAGCAATGGAGCATGTTGCCTCGAGGGTGAATAGAAGGTGCCCGAAATTCAGAGTTATGCAGCTCAAGCTGTAGCTAGTGATAAAAACTTAAATACTAAGAAGGATGAGAGCAAAAAATTTCGTGGTGATGACACAGTTGTAGTAAAATTTGTTGACACTGCCATGGTTGGAAAGTCTGAAGCAGAAGATGCATGTCATCATGGATTGGTGGATCCTACAATAAATATGAAGGAGGCCATGAATGCCATCAACAGCATGTTCCGGGAGCCATTGGAGACTGTTCCATTAGGCAGGAAATCTCATAAAAACCATTCAAAAGAAAATCGTAGTACAAAGAACGAGTTTGAGGTTTTTGTTGATGAAAACTTGGATCATGGAATCAAACCATCCGGTTCTTTATCACTTCAGAAAAGGACTGAAGCCAGCCAACCTCACCAAGAACCGCTCCAGATATACATTGATGGTGAAGAACATTCTGAGACCAGTAATACGAATTTGTCTGAAGGTGGTTCTGCTTCATCGACTTCGCAATCAAATGGCTTTGTTTTTCTCCGCCCCAGGGATATTACTTCCGAAAAATCTAGTGACATGGATGCTGACAGCTGTCGTAATTCAAAGTTCAGAGAGGATACAGTCGTTTGCAAATTTGTTGGTTCCACTATTTTGGATGAACCAGAGGTGGAAAATGTTTGCCACCATGGTTTAGTAGACCCCACCATCAACTTGAAGGAAGCTATGGATGATATAAATAACATGTTTGGGAAACCAATAGATTTTGTTCGAAAAAGAAGAACCACCAAACAGGAGAAAGCACCCCAGAGCAACAGGGGAAATGACTTTGGTGGGTTTTCAATCCTTGCTGACGACGACCATCTGGAACAACAAGTTCCACCACCACCCCCAAAATTGCCTGGAAAGTCCAAGGAATGTGATTTGTTTGAGCCAACTCTCCTCACAAAGGAAGCCATGGACGATATAAACAAAATGTTTAACACGCCCCTGAATTTTTAGTAATAAGGTCATTTTTTAGTGTCAATTCTGATTTCTAATATGTAAGCAGAATTTGATTCTGTTTGAAGTATTTGAGTGAAAGGTTTCAGTTGTTGTACTGATTTTTATAACTTTTATGATACTTTCTATGCGTATGGAACTCAAAGCTTGGAATGTAGAAAACAATTTTCCCTTTTTCAAAGAATTAAAATCAATACCCACAGCAACATTACAATTTAGTTTATTACAGCAAAATACAGAAAGGAATACACCAAAAAAAATATAAAAAGAAAACATCTCCATATTGAATAGTATGTAGACACAAATAATAGGAAACAATAAAATCATTATCAAGGGAATCTGAATGCATGGTTAAGGGTAATTGTTTGAGACATCAGTGGTGAGTCTGTGAGCATTCAGAGGGACGAAAAGCTAAGGGACCAGCAGCATAAATGACAGCTTCATACTTGCTTCCGTGCAATCTCTTCTTCTCATAACGAAGAGGTGCCCCATTTATACCATAATTGACATTGGAGAGAAGGCTGCAACTTTCAAGAGGAGACCAAACAGGCTTCACGTAGCAAGCATGGAGGGGGTGGTCAAGTACAGAATGCTGCATCTTGAACCCTTCGAGTGGTGCATAAAGGTAACCATTTTTGTCTGTCTCAAAGACCTTATAGTAGCTCACATGACCATTGTAGCTTTTGCAGGTAACACTTACTTTGGCTGAAGGAATGGGCTTGGCACCTATCATAGACCATGTTCCAAAATGATCACAGCTCTGACAATAGACCATAGCTTCCACCACCACTTCTATTTTCTTCTCTGCTGTTTTTGGAACATCTGGAGTGGCTTGTGTGTAAGAGAAAGCCACCAGAAGAAGTAACAAAGAAAGGGAACTGAAGTGTCTGCCAGCCATTTCCTTTGAGTCCTTTTAGGGTTGAACTGAAGTGACTAGGAAGAGTTCAGAGGCTAAGGCTCACTACCAATTGATCGATATACATATATGTATATATAGCTGATAGCTCATTGGTAATGCAATGCACTACTGGGAGGAATTTCATTGAAGTGATAATAACAAAGCATATCAACGTGCCATCCACTTTGTTGCCAATAAATCTCATTTATACGTGAAGGCCATCTTTTGCCATCTACATGTTTTCATGTTCTATGAAGAAAAATAATAGTTTCACACTCCTCTAAAGAAATATAGCCTATTCACAATTCCTTCTAGCTATATGATAATGAATATTAGAATTTTAAATTAAATAATAAAATAAATATAATTAAAATATAATTAAAATATTATTATTTTAAATTATAATGTATGTGTTTTTTTCTTCTGTAATAGTGTCAACATATATCACTGCTCTTTATATATGCGTTTAGTATAAAAAAGAAATACTGGCCTATGGATATTTTCAATTTATTAGTAGATTTATTTAAACTCTTAAAATATCTATAATGTAAGAAACATTAACTCAACTTACAAGTGATTATTTAACACAGATATGTTTAGTTTGACATTGAGTTTAATATAATTATATAGTTAAATAATTTCCACTGAGCATTTATTAACTGAGTTACTTGTTTATTTAACATGTGAGAACTATTAAATAATTGATGGAAAAATTTAATTTAAAAGAAATATATATATATATATATATATATATATATATATATGGGGTTTGTTAACTTTGTTCTTTTCTCAGGTGGTATATTTTAGCAATATGTACCGGATTTTAGTAGACAAGAATATCCTCATGTATTATGTATTCTAAGTTTTAAGGTCAAGGGTATTTGAATAATTTTCATTCTCAAAATCCTCGAACCTTACTCACCTCCCTCATTCCTCTCAACTCTTTCTCTTTCATCTCTCTCAGTCCAACCTTTTCTTTGTCATCCCTACTGTAGTCCCAACTGAAAACCCTAACTAAAAAAATCAGAACATCTACCTAACCCTAATTCACCTTCCTCACTTATCCAATTTGTTTCTCTCTCATCTCCACACTCTCTCACACACACAAAGTAACCCGTAACACCTTAATTGGTTGCTCTTGCTCTGTTCGTTCATTTGTTTTCTACTTTAATAACAAAATAATCAAAATTATTTTGTTATTTAAGTGAAAAACAAAATAACGAACAGAGCAAACAAATTATGGTTATGGTGTCATGGGTTGCTTTTAATTAACCTATAACTCTTCTCGAATTCAAATCTAAGAAAAATATAAAAATAACTAAGATAAAACAAAAGAATTCAAAAAATGATGAAAGATTTTGTTCCAATTTAATTGAATCTAGTACAAAAAGAATACATGGATCTGGAACTATATTTCATTTCAAATTTCCAGTATTTTAGTTCTTTTTAAGTATTTTTTATGATATTGTTGCCCCAACTTATCCATTAATTTAAGAAATAACTAGAATTCTTGATTTCTCTCAATTCGAAAATCCAGGATTTGAATTGATGTCATTTCATCAAATCCTCCTAATTGCATTAATTTATTTAAATTCACTTCAATTGGAATTGTGTGGGTGAGAGATTGTATGGAGATGAGAGAGAAACAAATTGGATAAGTGAGAAAGGTGGATTAGGATTAGGTGAGTGTTTCTTATTTTTTTTCAGTTGGAGCTACGATAGAAATTATAAAGAAAATGTTGGAGTAAGAGAGATGAAAGAGAAAGGGTCGAGAGGAATGCGGGAGATGAAAATTATTCAAACATCCATGACCTTAAAACTTAAAATCCATAATATATTTGTCTACTAAAACCCGGTACACATTCCTAAAATGTACCAACTAAAAAAAGAGTATATATATATATATATATATATATTCTAGTATTCTTTTAATTATTATATTTTATTATCCCCGTTATATATTATATAATCATTTCCAAATTTGTTCATTTAGTCCTCTACAATTTCATGTGTTGCCGCAAAAAGTATCCCAAAATTTTGGTCACCAAATTAATCTCAACTATTTTCCTCCACATTTATTTTCCAAAACTATGATCACTAATTTAATTCCAAAAAGATTTCATTTATCACAAAATTAGTTCATAACAAACCATTTCATCAACATTTGTGCTCCATTTTAAATTGAGGAGGGAGGGATTTAGTGATAAAAAAAATCTTTGAAAGATTAAAAGAGTGACCATCTAATAGTAAGATAGTTTTAAAATTTGAGACTGGTAGTTAGGATTTTTTTTTTCTTTTTTAGAAAATTTATACAGTTGTATAAAACAAAATTGAAGACTTATTCTTTATTTCTTTTGTTAAGCATTAATATATATATGTGTATATATATATAAAAGAAAGACACAATCCCACTTGAGAGAAGATGTTTATTTGAAAGCATGGCAAAGTCAGCTATGCATTCTTTGCATGAACAAGTGGAGAAGGAGTTGCTTAATTTAAAAGATTGCTCCTTTGTTCAGTGTGTCTGGACAAAGGTGAATTCTAATCTACCTCCTGACTTTCTTTAATTGTAACAGAATGTCTGCGTTACTTCTCTACATGACAGAGCATCGTGGGGCATATTCTTTCCTATTAATGTAACTGTAACATGGAAACCAAGGAATAGTCTTGTTTTTTTTTTGCTGAAAATTCTGATCTCTTGACTATCCAAAAAGCTAGTATAAATGAGTCTTGCTACGATCACATCAAAATTAAATATACTTAGATGTATATCTAATTTCAAATTTTCTAGATATCTTTTATTAACAAAATTATGAAAAAAGTGTTAGATTTTAAAACGGACACTATCTTATTTAGATCAGAATAAGTTTCAAAATTACAATTAGTATGGGAATTTTCTTCTCAGAATGAAAGACATAATCTTCCTCTCAAAATTCTTCAATGATATTATAACAGATGGGAGCTTTATGACGAAATTCAGGTACGTGATATCCAAAAGCAAGGATATTACATATTTTACAGAAGACCCATCATGAATGACGAATGATCTGGTTTATCAGAAGTTGGTTAAATGGAATTGAGATATTCTTTTTGTCAAGCTAACATTGTGACTGACCATTTAGCTTCTATAGCTCACTTTTATGCTTTAGGTGTTCGTGCTTGAGTCTCCTGCTGGTTCTTGTTCATATCTATTATCTAGAGATGTAATGAAACTGTACATGAATCTAAGAGTCTAAATGTAGCTTATTTGAACATTTTAATTAACAACTTCGGAGTAGATGTCATATAAATAAATGACAATAAGATTGTTCCACTTTATAAATTCATTACAGCATCGACGGTAATAAGAGAAAATTTCCCATTGATAAACTATTACAATTTAAGCTCTAAATAAGAAATTTTCAAAATCCATGATGTCAGTTAATAAAAAAATTCAAAATTCGGTACACCTATATACTCTTCCTCAATTAAAGTTAGCAATGATATTGACACCATCATCTTTTTTTATTCTAAATTCGTATACAGTTTCTTTCGTGGTTGAAAATTGTAGCATGATGAGCAATGCATAGGTTAAGGTCAAGTATGTTTTTATCTTCAATTAACAGCTGTCGTATAGCAAAAGGAACACTGTTTCCAAGTCATCTCGAACCAGTCATTCATGCAGCTGACATTGAAATTTTCAGCTACCCATTATTCTATTTGGCAGGCTACAGCTCGGAAATTTGTACTTTGTAGGTGTCATTTGCTACCAAACTTTCCTCATACTTCACCATAGAATATTAACAAAAAATCCCATAGACTTTGACCTTGTCCATCAATGTTATCAAAACTTCAACTATCACAACCTTATTCTTCACATGTAACTGTCATCACATGTAATCAACACACATGGGTAGGATTATGATTATTAACATTTTTATATCATGACTTAAACATTAATAATTGAATCCTTATTCATATTTTCAAATAAAATATCATTTTGTCAACTATATGACATTATATTAACCATTTTTCTGATCAGAACAAATTAGATTATATTGTTTTTGAAAATTGAAAATATGGAAGCAAGGAGAGAATGAGCAATGGTTGTAACTGATAAGAAATATAACCGAAAACATTTGTAAGTCACGAAATAAACAAACTGCGAAAATGAAACTAACTGATATTTGAAGCTTTTTTTGTTAGTTTAATTCCATAAACCATAACCAAACAGAGCACCCAAAGAAAGAAAAAATCACATTTTTATC